CCTTACTCCCGAGTTGCCCCTTTTGTCTTAACTGTTCTTGCCGTCTGGCAGCTCTGTGCACACGCGCACTGGGAATAGGCTCCCCTTGTTACTCTGCCTCGCTGCTGTTAAGATTCTGGAGGCTCCAGAGTCAGCACATAACTCCCAGATGGCTCTGGCCCCATCTCTGTATCAGACACAGGACCCTTGTCTGAGTCCTCCCCAGGCTCCCGGACTGGCCCATGTTCCTCCCCACTGTCCAACTCTGCTGCCGTCTCCGCAGGCTGCCAACGGACCAGAACAGCAGCTCTGGAGTTGTGGGTTGCCAACACCTGTCCCACTCCCCAAATATATCAACTGAATCTTGAAATAGTAATTGGCAGAGGCATGAACATTATGTAGTAATCCCAAAACCCACCCAGATGTTTGCATAGCACAGATCAGTCTGCTGCCTGATCGACATTTTGTGTGTGTGTACCTCCCAGTCATTATTGACTCCTGGTGACTGCCTGAACAAGCTCCTGGTTTTCTTGGCAAGATTTCAGAAGTAGTTTGCCATTGCCTCCTTCCTACAGCTGACAGAAATGAGCTTTACATCTAAGGCTTTGTATCTAAGGCCATACTAGAACTCACATTATCCTGGTGCCTTAACCACTATACCAAACTGGCTCTCATTATATTAATGCCCAATACCTAAATGTATTTATGTAAGAACAAACTGGGTCACTAAGATCCTCCAACTTCCAATTTGCTTGCCTTTTCACCAACCTTTATGTTAGTTCATAATGTCTCAGAAGTACAAGGATGAACAGTGATGCTAAGCCAGGGGTGTCAAACTCAATTTCATTGCTCGGGAAGACCATGTGCGGTCCACCCGGGCTTAATTTTCACTTGCAGAAGCCTGCAGGAGGCCGTCATGGCTGAAAACGGAGCCTGGGAGAGCCACACATGGCCCTCCCGAGCTGTTTTTGCTGGCAGAGGCACTGTGGGCCAGTCCTTCGCTGTTTCCAGGGTGGCCCCGCAGGCCTGATCTAAGCACCCTGAAGGATGGATCAGGCCTGTGGAGTTTGATACCTCTTGTGCTAAGCAATCCAAAGGGAAAATGGGGCATAAGTACAAGACAATGAATAAAAATTAAAATCAAATATCCTTTTTATTAAATCAACTACAGCTTGAGTTGAAAATATACACTATGGCAACACACAAATGGATACAAGGTAATGAAACAAAACAGCAGCCTTTAATTGCTACTGATAAAAACTGATTTTTATGTGATGTCACATAATTCATGTTTCCATTTCACACTTACCTCAGTTTACCAGGTGGCAATTCTTAAGGCATGCTGTTGTAACTTCTAAAATAACATTGCTTTTTCATAGACGATACCTTGGCTCCAATGATATTCATTAAAAAAAAGAGGTGCTTTTTTATTTCTTAAAAACCTGGGCACATCAAGCTGCAGAAATTCATTCTTTTTAATAATCTTAATACAGCATTATAGACTTTGAAAATCAAATAAATTTCAATTCTGGTTAGATCTAATGTTAAATCTCCACAGTTGGAAGTGGGGATAATATGGGGCTTCAGTGCTAATGTTATGATTTTTGAGTCAGATACACAGTATGAATTTAGCATAAACCAGAGCATGCCAACTTTAAAGTTCTGAAAATAGGGGAAAAAAAGTAATTTCTTGCAGATTGATGAATGGTCATCTTTCAAAATGACAAGTAATTTAATTACAAGGTACAAGATCAAAACAAGCTAAACAACATTTTAGAAAATCCAGGCCTTTGCAGTTTTACAAGGGACAAACATTTGTCAACAGGACTTCATACCAAATTAACATGAGCAAGACTGCAGCCTTATTAGTAACTTCTGCTAGTGGTGCTCCATCTGTTGAGATAACAGAGGGGAGATGGTGACCTCCTGCTAAATAGCATCATCCAAGATAAATGATGGACTCATTAGAATGCCCCAGCTGTCAAGGTGCTGGTACATTCCTTCTTGCCCCATTTTTTACCAACTTCAATTAGTTTTGTGCCAGATTCTTGGCCTAAAAAGAAGTTTGCTTCTTTGGCAAATGACAATGGCATCTAGCATTGTGCAAAATGTGCCTTAATCCCAATTCATTCTGGATTCTGACTGTTGGCTAATTAAACTTGTGATTCTGTGTGCCTGAAAGCCCCAAAGACTTGAATAAGCAGACAAATGACTGGCTTGCAGGTTGTGCATCTGAAATATTGCAGAATATGTCAAATTCTTGCTGATGTAAATAAACAGGGAGAGACCAACCCACCTGGTTCTGATATGCATTGTAAATTAGTATTGTCTGTTCATATGCATCATGATTCCTATGCATCATAATGGTATCTGGTTCCTTGTCTTTCAGATTTGCATGCATTTCCATTTGAGGGCTTAATCTTCCATGTACATACCACAGAGCTAAAACCACAATATAAACCAGCACTTTCCTTCCACAACAAGAAATCAAGTTCATTTGGGAAATACAAATACTTTTGTCTGGACTATATTTTTTAGGAAAACATAATGTGTATTTTCTAAACTAATATATACATTTCTCCTACTTTCTTGTAATTTCTTCCACATACTCAGTTGTGGTTGTTCGTGCGTTCAAAAACAGATACGCCTACATCCATTTATGTATTTTAGAAAGACATATAAAATACATAACACTTAGAGAAAGTTGTGTACAAAAATAAATGTGAATTATAGAACAGTTTTTAAGAAGAAACGAGGAATAGAAAAATTGGATGGATGGTTAATAAGCTGTTATTAAGGGTGTTATTAATAGACTTTGAATTTACAAAGTTAATAAGAACTTTGTAAACTTTCTTGGAATTGTACATTGTAAGTGATCCACCACAGAAGAATAATTTTTTTTCAGGGTTCAGGCCCATCTGACCTTATTGTTCTTATTGTTGTAGATTCTCTAGTAAACTTCCCATCTTTGCCAAAATACAGTTTATCATCCATCCATTATAGTGCAACATCTTCTTCAGTACTAAAGTTGCTGATTAAAAAAATGGCAAAATTTTAGATCTTTTGTTAGTCTGGGTAGTAATTGTTACCTGCCTAGTTTGACAAAACTGCCCAAGAACTTTGTACCATGGTTCATTTTAATACTAATTTGTTCAATAAGTAATGATGGCTGCATTCACATAGAATACCAAAGCATAAATTATGGTTCTTAAGACAAAAATGATTGGCTCCATTGATCACATTAAGCCACAATATTATTACTTTATGCATCATGCATAAAACCAGCCCTAGGGCATCGGGTAGGCTATCTGAGCAGAAATAGTTTATTGAATGCAAAGTCTGCATTGCAAAGGCACATGTGATGAAGTCATGTGGATTTTGTCACTGGAACCATATCCAGCTTTAAGGGTAGGGGGTTTGGGGGGGCGTAGTGGAGAGGAAGAAAGTATTTTGCTTGTGGCCAAGTCATGCTACAGGTTTCACCAAGCACATAGTTTAATTCAGGCCAAGAAAAACTCTGTTTCACTTTATTGGAAAACAAGTCGTTCTATGCTGGTGTGCATTAAACCCAAATGAAAAAGCATATTGTCTAGGAAAGATCCTTAGCTGCTTTTTAGAGTTCTATATGTTTTGTTTATTTTGAAGCTTATTGTACTAGGAAAAGGCAAAGCAGGCAGCAGAAGCGGTTATGTCTTATTAATGGGAAACCCACTGAGTTTCAGAGTAGTCATCCTCCCTGCCTCTCTCTGTATAGATATGAAATGCTTCCAGTAATTATTACTTCTGCTCCTCTATGACAAGCTAACATTTTTGGTCACTAAGCTAGACTTGATATTTTCTTCTACCCATTTTTAAAAAAATACCCAACATCCATGAGATGATAGGTAGGAAAGTATAATATTTCAATGCACACTTGCTGGTTTTGCAAATTCCTACTTTTCCTTTGCTATGAACACTAGAGGGAACAGCCGGAAACAATTTCTGGGTACTCCAGCATAGTCCGTATCCAACAGACAGTGAATGAAAAACTCTTTAGTACACTCATTCATAGGCTGATGAGCATGAAGGGCACTGAAAGGTTTAATAGTTCCAACCAATCCAAGAGGAAATTGTGCAAATTGAAAACTAAGTTCCAGTGGCAGACATGATGGAACTTATAACTTGGTTATACAACATCTCTATGAAACACTTTTCCCCCTCTTGAAGGAAACAGAAAAAAAGTCTCCCATTTAAAAAAAAAACAGGCTGCAAATAATCGTGTGGCTGCTTAGGAACAAGCAGCCTTCTGCTCTTATTTAAATTATGCCTAAAAAAACGAGAGAGAGAGAGAGAGAGAACACTGTAAAATGATTTATTTGGATGATCTGTATCTGTTTAGTGGGTTCAGCGTTGGAAGCAAAGGATACTGGCAACTGAATGAGAGAATGAGATGATCTCTCTGCACTCTGGAGAAAACACCAACAATTTACTTAAAAAACAAAACAAAACAGAAGCTACTTTCTCTGTGAGTGCAACACAACCGTTCACTCCACTACAAACGATGGAGTTACACACCCAAGAAATTCATTTGGACCTCTGAAAGGTTAAAGTGTACGTGTCTTGACAGAAAGGAACAACAAAACTCAATTAACCAAATGACCAAACCGTTACATTCACCGTCGTTTTCTAAGGAAATGGCTCATTTCATTATATTACAAACGGAATATTTGCAGCCTGCATGTAACTCTATACTCTTCTCCTTCTGGCCAACAATTCTCATGTTCTTTTCTTTTTCAGATGGCTTTGTGATCTTACGAAGAAGTCCTTCCTCCTTTGTGGAGTCTGCCGAAAAGCAGTAATCTTATTTCAGGTCCTAATAATAGTGTGAATATGCATAATGGTTAAGTTCTCACTGTCATCACGGCTATAAGCCCTTTGCATGTTATTTGTGCAATAGGGTTCCCAAGTGCCTGCAGACGCAAATGCCAAGAGGAAAACTATTCCTGCTTCCCAGCAACAGGCAGACGTAGAAACTTCCGTTATCAGACATTGTCTCTGGTCTCTGAAGACATATTCGGAAATACGTCGCTCCCTTGCGATGCGTTGCTTAACTGGGATTTGGTTTTCATTAAGAACTGTGCCCTCCTGTACATAATTCTCTCTTGCTCTTGCTTTAGCTCAATGTATGAACGGGAAAAGGTGTGGAAGATGGAAGTGACAGGAAAGGCCATGAGAAGGATGCCACTCAAGATGCTGCTCAGGGCCACCACCTGGCCTGGGATGCTTCTGGGTACCATATCACCATAGCCCACTGTTGTCATAGTGATGACTGCCCACCAATAGCAAGCAGGGATACTGGTGAACTCCTGAGAGTCGGCCATCTCATTTTCAATCAAATACAAGAGGGGAGCAAAAAGTGCAATGGCTACACAAAGGAACAGTAGCAACAGTCCAAATTCACGTGTGCACCTACGAGCCGTAAGTCCCAGGGTCTGCAGGCCTAATGAATGCCTGGCGAGCCGCATGACATAGAGAATCCTCAAGGCACGGAGTATACGGAGCACCAGGCCTACCTTGTCTAGGTAGATGTTGCCAGAGCTTGGCTTTTTATTACTACTCACTGAAGCACTGTCCAGTAGTAAAGTGATATAATAGGGCAGGATGGCAACTATATCGATTAATGTCAGAGGGTGCCGCAGAAATATAAATTTGCTTGGTGCCTGGATGAATCTCAAAATGAACTCCAAGGAAAACCATCCGACGCAAATGGATTCCACAATGAAAATGTTGTAGCACATCTGAGAACACTCGCCCTGGAGTAGGAGGGAAGGTTACACTGTATGAGCATCATGTCAATTGGCAAATGTCACAGAAACAGTTCACAAAGAACAGAAAAATTATTCAACTGCCACAAACCAAAGCATACTTAGGTCAGTGGAGTGACAATTATTTCTTACATGGTCAGTGGAAAAAAACACGATAGCAAATTTGACTGTTACAAAAATGAGGGACATACGACAAATCTCCTCCCTCCCTTCCCTTTAGCAGAATGGGTGGCCAGGCAACCTATAATATAAGGCAGGAATTACAAGAAGAGATGTAAAAGGGTTTGAATATTATCTCTACATAGGCAACTTGCTCTTAAAACAAAGCAGTTGCTAGAATTCTTTCTTTTTACTTTTCTTCAATGAACATTACATACCAGCAAGATTGTCTGATGGTCTCTGTAGTAAGAGAAGCAGTTCATGTGATCATATTTTCCAGAAGTTCATCATGAATTTAAAACAATCTGTCTTCCAAAAGGCAGTTTAGAATACAACAAAAATTCAAACAATGAAATCACCCTGCCTTATTTATTTATTTTATTATATTCTCAACAAATGACTCTACAGTGATTTTTCCATTATAAAATAGCATTAACTGGGGATAGAGAATCTAGTATTTCCAATAAATGCAGTAATGTTATATGACATCTTTGCTACAGGGCGTTTTATGATATAGAGACTCTTAACAATCTTTTTGTGGTTTTGTCCAATTCAGATAGAATTGTTTGGATGTTTTCCCCATTTAATTTTCCTGGTACCCCTGGAATGAGTGTTTAATTACTCAGAAAATAATTACAATCCAAGACCTTACTTTTTTATGAGACCACTTGAGCTACACCCTTTCAAGAAAATTTACTACACACTAGCTTACTCCTTACTGTAATTTAGCCACACTATGTGTAATTAAAAATCTTGTACATTTTTTTCCTGCATATCCATATCTCCGTTCCCTCATTTCCAATCCCCATCTATTGGGAATTACATTAAAAATTTCCCTGGAAACCAGTCACAAGAGACAAAATAAACAACTGAGTCTAGCCAGAAATATCCAGCACCAACATGAGCAAAAAATGTTAGAGTACATGCTGAATTGTAATGCAGTATGAAGAAAGTACAATGCATCAGTTATAGAAGTTAAAACTGTATCAATTAGGTTATAAAAGTTAAGACTGTATCAATTAGGTCATCCTTCATTTTACTATATCAGTAACTTTGTGACATATTAAGCTAGGAGAAAGTGACAAGCACAAACTCACAATTCAAAATTCTTTTTCTTTTTCCAAATTCTTGTTGATGTTACATTGTCTGAATTCCTATAGCAGCATTTATTAATGGAAAATACATTAAGCAACCTTGGTATGTTAATGTTTACTAAACCTACTGTTTCCAACACTCTTGTATATAATATTGAGTGTGAAATATGAAAATGCTTTCAGGCAAATTTATATTGATGGATAGAAGCAAACTCTTCATTCTGTTTTTAAGGTTGCATTAAAAGAGCTGCTTTAAAAAAGCAGTTCTGAATGAACTCATCAGGATGCATGTAGGCCAGCAGTGTCAAACTCACGTCATCACAGCAGCGTCACATGACATATCGTGACTTTCCCCCCCTTCGCTAAATCGGGTGTGGGTGTGGCCAGCACGTGCTGCATCTGGTCCGTGGGCCGCGAGTTTGAAATCCCTGATATAGGCTTTGCTTTGGCCTTGCTCTTCTATTAAATGCTTCAAAAGAGCCCCAGCATTTCAAGTGAAGATTCCTACATTGTGGCTGAATGGCAATTAGGTACCTCTATTATCAACACCCAGGGACGCGGTGGCTAAGACGCTGAGCTTGTCGATCAGAAAGATCAGCAGTTTGGCGGTTCAAATCCCTTGTGCTGCGTAACAGAGTGAGCTCCTGTTACTTGTCCCAGCTTCTGCCAACCTAGCAGTTCGAAAGCATGTAAAAATGCAAGTAGAAAAATAGGGACCACTTTGGTGGGAAGGTAACAGCATTCCATGCACATTCAGCGTTTAGTCATGCCGGCCACATGACCACAGAGATGTCTTCAGACAGCACTGGCTCTTCAGCTTTGTAACAGAGATGAGCACTGCCGCCTAGAGCCAGAAGTGTCTAGCACATATGTGCGAGGGGAATCTTTACCTTATTATCAACACACCTTAACCAAGGTGAGAGATGTGAAGCAAAAGTGGAAACCAAGACTCAATTCAAAAGAAGTACATTCCTCAGGGAAGTGGGGGGAGAAAAGGTCAGTGTCAACCATGAAGCTGGCCTGGCTGAAACCATCTTGGTAGCTTCAGTATTGCCACACTGGAGCGAGGGATAGAGAGGGGGGGGGATTAGAGATAGTTGGGCTTGTGTAGTCAAAATAAAATACTTTCTCAAGACTTTCTCCTGGGAACAAAGGACATTCTCATACCTGGCCGAGGGAAGGAGAGGTGATGTCACCGGACCAGCGGATGCTACAGTGATTGAGCCATATGACTGATTATTTGGGGTTGAGGAATTTTTTTTTTTTAATTAAGTGAAAACCAGCAGTGGGATCCTGTTTGACTACTGGTTCGGTGATTTGTGCGCACAGGCACGCATGTAGGTTTCCCCACACCAGCTGAGGCCTGCGGTGCCAATCAGCTGACAGGATAAAGAAGAGAAAAGCACAGGGGCAGGTGGGAGGGACGATCCTGCTATTTCTCTTCTTTCCTCCTCTCAACTGATCATCGGTGGCTTTTTTCTCTTCTCTCAGCTGATGTTGGAGGCTTTTTTCTTTTACTACCGGTTCGGTGGAACCGGTCCGAACCAGTAGCATACCACCACTGGTGAAAATCAAGAGGCTCCTCAGAGTTGGTTTTCACCACATATGTGCCAATTTGATATTTCCAATAAAGCTATTCTTTGAGGAATTTACCTGCCTCAGAGTTCTTGCTTGCAATGGCTCTATTGCTTGGAACCTTGATAGTCAGCCCAACACAGAAATGCACGTATTGTAAATCTATCCTCATTCATCTAATACAGTGGTTCCCAACCTTTTTTTCGCCCTGCACCCCTAAAGAAATTTCACTCGAACCGCGCACCCCCTGAAATAAATAATAAATAAAAATGCCAACATATAACCAATATCCTATTATTTACCTGGACTTTTCTCGCACCCCCTGGAATATCGTCTCGCACCCGCAGGGGGTGTGAGCACCCCAGGTTGGGAACCCCTGATCTAATAGATACCTTTAGTCCTTGACGTACAACAGTTCATTTAGTGACTGTTTGAAGTTACAACGGCACTGGAAAAAGTGAGTTATGCCTATTTTTCCACACTTAACACTGTTGTAGCATTCCCACAGTCATGTGATCAAAATTCAGACACTTTGCAACTGACTCATATTTATGATGGTTGCACCGTCCCAGGGTCATGTGGTCCCCTTTTGAGACCTTCTGACAAGCCCAATCAATGGGGAAGCCAGATTCACTTTACTAGCTTAACAACTACAGTGATTCACTTAACAACTGCAACAAGGAAGGTTATAAAATTGGGCAAAATTCACCTGTCTCGCTTAGCAACAGAAATTTTGGGTTCAATTGTAGTCAGAAGTTGAGGACTACCTGTACAGCTATCCATTTTGCTGTGAGTTCTTGTGTCCCTATTATTTGGCCACTTGTCGGGTAAGATTGGGGAAAAAAATAAGGAAGAGTCAGTCCTTGACTTACAACAGTTCATTTAGTGACCATTCAAAGTTAAAACAGCAGTGAAAAAAAATGACTTATGACCATTTTTCACACTTAACACCTTTGTAGCATCTCCACGCTCATGTGATTAGAATCCAGATGTTTGGAATTGGTTCATACTTATGACCAATGCTGTATCCCAAAGTCATGTGATTCCCTTTTGCGACCTTCTGACAAGAAAAATCAATGGGGAAGCCAGATTCACTCAACAATCGTATTATTGACTTAAGAACTGCAGTGATTTAACTGCTACAACTGTGGCAAGAAAGCACATAAAATGGGGCAAAACTCACTTAGCAAATGTCTCAGTTCAGAAATTTTGGGAATCAATGGTGGTCGTAAGTTGAGGACTACCTCTATTTCCTAGTGTGCCGTTTTGGGGGTGGGGAGGCAGCTGCAAGGACACCTTTTGTCTCATCTGGTACAGAATAGCAGGGGAGACTAATTATGCAAAGAATATTACCTCAGCTTACCAAAACATATCTTTTTTCCGTTTAATACTAAAACTCAAGTACTTGCACACAAAGTTCTCAAAGCTTTCTTAATTTCACATCCTCCAGGATGCTTGAAGTGGTGGAAACAAAAAGAGGGGATTTCCACGCCCCCCCCCTTCTCATGGCTTTCAAAAATGTCTATGGGCCCTTCCTATGCTGGTGCTGATCTTTGGGTCCCCAAAATGCCTGGATCATGGGGATTGCACGAGGACACGCAAGAAAACGTGACCAAGACCTGTATCTGCCAGTCACTAGTTTCTCACTGACAGCAGTGGCTTCCTGGGATTATCTCCTTCCTAGAGGCAAAATGCTATGTCCCTACTCCCTGTTTTCTTCCCCATTATGAGGAACTAGGATGGGACATCTTTTGCCATTCTTCAGTGCACAGTGGCCTGTTTTCATCTCTCCTCCCTTCCCAAAAACCACAGTGAAGAAAGAATATGGCCTCTTCTATCGGCTGGAAGGACACCTGCAGAACTCTTTAGGAGCACGAAGTACACCAGAATAACAGAGTTGGAAGGGGCTTTGGAGGTCATCTAGTCCAACCCCTTGCTCAAGCGGGAGACTCTATACCATTTCTCCCAAGTGGCTGTTCAGTCTCTTCTTAAAAGCCTCCAGTGATGGAACACCCAGAACTTCTGATGGCAAGCTGTTCCACTGGTTGATTGTTTTATCAGAAAATTTATCCTTATTTCTAGGCTGAATCTCTCCTTGATCAGTTTCCATCCCTTGTCCCTTGTCTGCCTTTCAGGTGCTTTCGAAAATAGGTTGTCCCCCTCCTTTCTGTGACAGCACCCCCCTTTCTGTGACAGTCCTTCTCTTCATTAGACTAGCCATGCACTGTAACCATTCTTCATATGTTTTAGCTTCCAGGCCCCTAATCATCTTCGTTACTCTCCTCTGCGCTCTTTCCAAGGTTTCTCCATCATTCTTATAGTGTGGTGACCAAAACCAGATTCAATATTCCAGGTGTGGCCTTACTAAGGCTTTATACAGTATTAATACCTCATGTGATCTTGATTATATCCCGCCGTTAATGCAATTTAGGATTGCATTGGCTTTTTTTGGCTGCTGCTACACACATGCTGGCTCATATTTAACTGATTGTCTGCTAGGAATTCAAAATCCCTCTCAGTTACTATGACCAAAATGGTCATTTGCACAAAAAGCTGACCAAAAGAGTAAGCTACATTTTTATTCCCCTCAAAGAGAATTAATTCCAGATTAGATAATTTCAGATACTTCCCCCTCCACACACACACACATGCAGACAACTTACTCGTTCCTCTTCTTCTCGTAACCCAGGCATGGTGCTGATAGATAGATTAACTGCTGTGACTGTCACAAAGAGGACTGATAAACAGGCAAACACTTTCCCAGGGATCCCTGACTGAGGCTTCTCCACCATGTCCTGTAACTTTTTCATGCACAGGCTGGCTTTTGTCTCTGTTGCTGTTGCTTCAGAAGGGTTTTCACAGTCCACAAACTCATCCTCTATTTCGTTCATTTCGGCAAATTCCTCCATCTTCTGGAGGTATCTCCTCTTGCAGCACCACTCTAGGCTGTCCTCCTCGATGCCCCAGTAAAGCAGCTCTTCTTGGAAGGAGAGGGCGCATACTTCCCTCAAGAGCCGGAGCTTCCCTGCCCGCAGAAAAGTCAAGATGGTCCTAAACGCTCCCGGGTTGCGATCGAAGAAGAACTCATTGCAAGTCACATCGTAATCGTCACAAATATTGAGGATGTCGTCAAAATTGTTGCAGAATTTCAGCTGTCCCAAGCGAGTCATGGGGAACTCGTCCAGAGTGGTCCAGGGAAGCAAGTATTTAAAGCCACCCACGTTAATGATGATGTGGTGCTTCCTTTCTTCCGGGTGAACGCTTTCGTAGAGGTCTTTGCCAGGGTGAAGACGCTTGGCTCTTTGGTAGAAGACGCCTTTCAGAGTTTCCCTTTCGGCAAAGAAAGGGTGGTTGAAGGAGACATCTGAAGCACAGCTGAGGGCACTGAAGTCGTAGTCTGAATTTTCTCCTGGGAGAAGAGTCATCTTGATCACCAGCTTACTTCACATCACTTTAGGGCTCCTGTTACAAATTCCTATGGTGAAGGGAGGAAAACCAAATATTAGTTCATGTGTGTATCTCATACAGTATTGACTATTGGAGGAGGGGTGGGGATAATTTGCATGGGATTTGCACCACAACGGAAGAACAAAAAAAAAAAAAAAAATTAAACAATGGAAACAGCTTACTATTGGGAAATTTCTACATCCTCCTTCCAGTTTATTATTGTTGCTTACCGAAATCTCGCAAGGCCTCATGTAAATATCATGAAGATTCATGAGATTTCAGTTATTTTTATTGTTTTATTTGGAGTTCATGGATACTTTGGGGGAATATTATGGGAACTTTGGCACTGCCATTGAAATCTGGCACAACACTGATGCATGCATAGTATAAAATGGAAATAATTTATAGAAGTAAAAGAAGTCCCTTGCAGACTTTACTCCAGTAGTTGTTGTTGGGGGCTGAGCTCATCTCACTTTCAAGGCCATTTAGCCAGCACTGTCTGAAGACATTTCTGTGGTCATGTGGCCAGCAGGATATTGTGGAATGCTCTACTTTCCCACTGAAATGGTACCTATTTATTTACTCGCATTTGCATGCTTTCGAACTGCTAGGTTGGTGAGAGCTGGGGTGACGATGGGAGCTCACCCTTTCATGTGGCCCTCGGGTTTCAAACCTGGGCTGCTGGCTTTTAAGCTGACAAGCTCAGTGTCTTAAGCACTGAGCCACTGTGCCACTCCAATACAGGAATATGAAGATAACATTATGTAAAATGTTTGATATGGGAATGGATCTAGGAGAAAAAAAGAATGTTGGAAAAATAGCAAATATATTCTGGAGTCAACTCTACATTCTTGATGGAACATCTCTTATAAGATGTAATCTGGGGCTGTACCAGGCAGATGCCAGGATAGGAGAGTAACTAATAGCACCTAGAAGAGGGATGTCACTAATGAATCTTGTTTCTAGATTTACAGCCCATAATTGATGTTATAATGAATGAAGTCACTAATGCCGGCTCATTAATAATATATGATTATATTACTCATTAATTCTTGCTAGGTTCACTGTCTGGGGGAGAAGTCCCTTTGCAGAATGCTTTCCCTCAATCACACAATCTCTTATGGTGAAATTTATTGTGTAGTACTGTACAATAATCAAGGTATGGTGTTATTTCCCACTCTACAATTTTCTGGGTGCAGAAACTAATTCTATGGGGGGGGGGGGATCCAGGACAGTGTGCTATTGGTACTAAAACAATGAATTGATCATGGTGGTGCACCAAGGTTATTCAAATTCTGTGATCGGTATACTTCCTCCTATTTAAGTAAAGCTACATACAGCAAGTTGGCTTTTTAAAACATTTTGCAAATCTTATTAAGATACATCATTTGTACTGCCTGTCATGAGAAGGGAGAGGAATACCGATTGACCCTTAGAAATCTCATTTAGTGATTCTTCCGACATTTTACTTAGTGTTGCTTCCATAATTTAAAACAGATCTCTGCAAAAGTACTAATTTTTAATGTAACCAAAGATTATTAAAAAGATAAACTGTGTGGTTATTAACATATCCTGTAGCTGTTCTGTACAAGCACAGAATTACAGACTTTTATGAACATTATTGGGAAATATAAAAGACAGGACATGCTATTTGAAAGATGCTTATTAATTTTTCAGGTTTGCAGATTAGCCTTGGCCTTATCATTTCTTCAAACTGGTGGCTAGGTGAAAGAACCAATTTTTCCTGGTGTTCCATCTTGCTGGCATTTTCTTCTGAAAGAAACATATGATTCTTATCTCCACTAGCTTCTAAATGAGCATTTGAAGTATTTTCCTTCTTGATCTGTACTTTTATGAGAATGTTTCTTGGATCTGAGGTACTTTCCCCCTGTTTTCTATTGGGCTGCTTTCCATGCAACAATACTTCTTTAAAGTATATTTATAAGGCAGTCACCTATAACAGGTAACAGGACCAAGCTGACCTTGGCTGATCCCTTATGTTGACCACGTCCAACTTAGAACTGCAAGTTAATCTTGGAAGTTGAAAAAACAAGACAATGACAAAACTATTTCAGGACAATTTTTATAGTCATCCAAATCATGGTTGTCCCAAGGATGCTTTTTCAAAAGGCAACTCGTTTTTGTTTTTCCTTGAAGACGTTTCGCTTCGCTTCCAAGAAGCTTCTTCTGATCTGAACTTCTTCAAAACTGAAGAAGCTTCTTGGATGAGAAGCAAAACATCTTTGAGGAAAAAAAGCAAAGTCCAATTGCCTTTTGAAAAAGCACATTTGGGACATATTTCAGAACAACTGGCAATAAAACTGCATGGATGTTGATGCAGTTAAGGCTATCCAAAACTTTAAAAGGGTGATTCTATCCAACAAAGATAGAATGGAAAGTGGGAATGACCTGGGTAGACAAGGAGAGTTGCAGACTGGACAACCAGCATGTAAAAGATATCCCATCCTACTTAAGTATAGATGGCATAGAATCCTTTCAGAAGGGAGAGTAAAAGGAAAGGAGACGAGAAACACTTTCAGTCTTGCAGGATTCTGTTAATGTAACAGAATAAAGTACATCTGTTTGTGTTTCTTGTCTGGACTACTTTTTTCCCCCCATAAGGCTTTTTATTTTTAAATATACATCAATATTATTGCATGGACAATGTGGCATCTGTCATTCATTTGGTACAAAAATAATATTGATACAAATGAAAATTACTACATTAATCAAACTTACGTAGTTCTAATGTTATTATACATATTTGTGGAACATAGTTCTTCATTCTTCAGTTATTCAATATTTGTAACATCCTTCTAATAGTAGTAACATTATTTTTGAGCATACTTGGTAACACCCTTTTTCAAAATCCGATCTTAACCTCTACCGTCCATTTTAAATGTGTTATGCAAAAATATGTATATTCCCCCAATTCCTAATTTCTTAATCTATTCTAATTCTTAGTACAGCCAATCTTGTTTTTAAAAAAGATCCATCATCTCTCATCCTCTTGGAAGTTTTCTCTTTTTAACTCGCCTCCCATGCTCCTCCCTTGGATCCTTATCTACATCTTTTGTATTCAAACCAACCATTATTTCCATCTCCACTATTTTTTTGATGCCAGTCCACCTGTGAGTCCACCAAATCCTCTTTTTTCCAAAAATATCTTTCGATTTATACAGTTCCATTTTTCTACCTCCTAATATATATTCTCCCAACTTTATTATCTCCTTCTTTTTTCCTTGTTCGATTTGCTGTGTAGTCTGTTCTTCTCATCCTCTAAGCTTCCAGTTATCTCCCTTGTTTCCTGGATTTTATTATCTTGATTCATTATTCTTTGTTGCGCATTTTCAGTCTTTCCAGTTATGTCGTGTAGTAAATCTTTTATCTCCCTGAAATTCCCCATCATAGTGTCGTAAAAACTTTGAAGCATCAACATAGTTTCTTTTTGAAGTGCCTCCAATTCTTCCTGATGAGCCATCTTGCCTTGTTTTAAAAAGTCCAAATATTACTCAATGTTCTGTCTATAATCTGTCACCGCTTTGTCTGGACTACCTTGCAGGGCTAACAAAACCCCCGAATTACTTCACCAAAGCAGATTTATGAATCAAAATGAGAACTCGCTTTGAAGCGATAAATGAAATTTGGGAAGTCAGAAATGTTTAGGGTATTACTGCTCCTTTGGAGATTCTTAATGGAGAATGTCGGGGATATGATGGGTTCTGTGATATCTACTGAGGTGGCCTGCCCAAGAGTTTAACCATTTGTTCAAAGCCTCTGCTCATTAGAGCTCTTGGGGGGAGGGTAGCAAAGAAGGTACTAGTTAGAAACCAGGATACTGTGGTTTCTAGTTCTGCATTAGACATGATGCCAGCAAAGCAGTGGCAAATCGTTCTCCAAAAATGTTTCCAAAAAACTAGAGGGACTCATCTCTATCAGTACTGAGTTGAGAACAGAACAATAACATTGAAAAGGACTTTTGGGGTCTTCTAAACCAACTCTTTGCACAGGCAAGAGAGCTTACACAGGGGTGGGATCCTACCAGAATAACAACCGGTTCGCTGAGCGCACGCTTTGCACATTGTTGAAAAATCACCAGCTCCGGCAAGCATTCATCTTCGCCTGCTGACACGCGGCACTCAGCTGTGCTGTGCAAAGCAGCTGAGGTGGAAAAAGCAGGGAATAAAGCACAGCCTACAGCGCGGGTGGGACGAACAGAAGACCAGAGAAGATCGTTGCAGTGAACCGGTTCAGTCTCAGCTGCTCTTCGGAGTTACCGCTTCAGCAGAACCGTGACGAACTGGTAGAATCCCACCCCTGACTGTACACCATTACTGACAAGTGGCTGTCCAGTCTCCAGTGATGGAGCACCCACAACTTCTAAAGTCAAGCTGTTCCACCGGTTAATTGGGAAATTAACTGTTGGGAAATTTCTCCTTAGTTCTAGATTGCTTTTCGTCTTGATTAGTTTCTGTCCATTTTTCTTGTCTTGCCTTCTGGATACTAGGTTGACCTCCACTTCTTTCTGGCATCCCCTCACTGTTATGTCAGCCCTAGTCCCTCTTTTCACTAGGCTAGACAAACCCAATTCCTGCAACTGTTCTTCATATGTTTTAGCCTCTAGCCCCCTAATCATCTATATTGCTGGCTTTTTTGGCTGCTGCTGCACACTGCTGGCTCATATTTAATATTTTTAACATATTTATAGTAATATTTTTAACAACAAAGCTAACCTTATTTTGGGTATTATTTATTTTATCTTTTTTTTTTAAATGAGGCCGACTATAAACCTTAACTGTGCTTTCTGGGTGCTTATACAATGTTATATTTCCATGTCCATCTTCTCAACACATGGGAGCTCAGTTCGATTTCAATTCTGGGTTGATTTAAGACTCTTGATAATTAAGTGAATGGATGTTCTTACAAGCAATGTCCCGTATGTTTCATGCTCTAAAAATAGCAATTGGGTGGAAAGGTT